GCACTGATGAAAAGAATATGTATTCTACAACTGTGGGATGAAAGGTTCTGTAGCTATCACTTATGTCCATTTGGTCCATACTATAGATTAGCTCTGTTTGTTAATTTTTTGTCTGGTTGATCCATCTATTAATGAAAGTGAGGTGTTGAAGTCCCCCGTTTCTATTGTATTGGAGTTTATGTCTCCCTTTAGATCCATTAACATTTCTTTTAAATTGTCAGGTGCCCTGTAATTAGGTGCATATATAATTATTATAGTCACATCTTCCTGTTGAATTGATCACTTAATCATTACATAGTGCCTGTCTTCAACTCTTTTAACAGTTTAATAGTCATACAATAGTATGACTATTGGTAAATAATGACTTGGCCCTGCCATTTTTTTCATAAATATTCATATGTTTACTTTGGATTTCTTTTGTACTTTTACTTTGGGATTTTTCTGCTTTTGCATTCTTTCATAATGATGGCTATCTTTCTGTATAACACATCCTTAAGCATCTTTTGTAAGGCTGGTTGAGTGGTGACAAATTCTTCCAGTTTCTGTTTGTTATGGATGGTCTTTCTTTCACCTTCACTCATAAATGACAGCTTTTCAGGGTATAGTATTCTGGGATGACAGGTGTTTTTTTTTTTTTTACTTCTGACTTGTATTATGTCTCACTGCTCTCTCCTAACCTGTACTGTTTCTCATGACAAGTCAGCTTTGAGCATAATTGGAGATCCTCTGAAAGTAATTTGGCATTTCTCTTATGCACATTTTAGAATCTTTAAGTTATACTGTGGAAAGTTTGACTACAAGGTGTCATGATGAAGATCCTCTCTGGCGATGTCTATAAGGAGATCTATGTGCTTCCTGTACTGGATGTCCCTTTCACTATCCAAAGTGGGAAATATTTCTGTTATTAATTCACTAAATAGGCCTTCTAGTCCATTCTCTCTTTCCAGAAATTCAGGAACTCCTAAGACCTGTATGTTGGGTCATTTGGTAGTATCCCATAAATTTATAACACTGGTTTTTGAGTTTTTTAATTTCTTCCTGTTTTCAAAGATTTGTCTTCTAGCTCAGATATTATTTCTTGTGCCTCACCAAGTCTGCTGTTAAAGCTTTCCACCACATTTTTTATTTGATCTACTGAATTCTTCATTTGTAGCATTTGACATTGATTTATCTTAAAAATCTCAATTTCATCAGAAAAATTTCATTCATTTCATGTATGGCTTTCTTTAGTTTGTGGATTTGCTCTGATTGCTTTTGAGTAATCCTATGATTAATTTTTAGAATTCCATTTCTAGAATTTCATCAATCTCATTTTTATTTATTTATTTGACAGATAGAGTTAGACAGTGAGAGAGAGAGAGAGACACAGAGAGAAAGATCTTCCTTCCATTGGTTCACCCCCCAGTGGCTGCTACGGCCAGAGCTATGCCAATCCAAAGCCAAGAGCCAGGTGCTTCCTCCTGGTCTCCCATGTGGGTGCAGGGGCCCAAGCATTTGGGCCATCCTCCACTGCCTTCCCAGACCACAGCAGAGAGCTGGACTGGAAGAGAAGCAACCGGGATTAGAACCCCATGCCCATATGGGATGCTGGTGCCGCAGGCGGAGGATTAACCAAGTGAGTCATGGCGCCGGCCCCTCATCAATCTCTTCATCTTAACATTCTAATTTTGGAATGTTGTGTTCTTTTGGAGGAATTAATGGTGTCTTCCTTATTCATTTTTCTTGAATTTTAGGCAATTGTGAAGTTACTTGTTGGTTTTCCTCTGATGGCTTTTATATTTGAACCATGCTTCTGTGGTTTAGTGGAATCTCTGTACTTTCAATGAATACCAAGAGGTGTGTTCTCAGTGTGGCTAGGGAGCTCTTGTCAGTGCTCCAGGGTGTGGCAAGTATCCAAGGTAACATCCAAGTTGGGTGAGAGAGATCTCTTAACAGAAGTAGGGAAATGATCACCTCTGTTGGTGTAATCACCCCCTCACCACCTCTCCTCCAAGCTGAGCAATGCCTAGATGTTATTCTCCAGTGAGTTCAGCACTCATATACACTGCCATATGAACTGCACAAAGGATCTGCACAGTTCTCCCTCTGAGCATGGTTCTTACTGCAATGACCTGCCCCAGGCAGCCAAAAAGCTCTGATCCTGTGGAGCCACACCCAATGATTTCTCAAAGACCTAGCTATACCCTGCACCCTCCTGTTTAGCCACTGAGTTCCCATAGTCATTGGGTGCAGAGTTTCCACTCTGTCTTGCAAGCCTATGCAGTGAACAGAGAGGCAAATTTTCCCAGAATCAGCTCTGCATAGGCAGCTTGAGCCTGTGTTATATTGTGAGACTGGAGGAGCCTCACGGTCCTACATGGGTGCCCCGGCCCTGTCAATCTTTCCAGGCAGGTTCAGAATCAGTGGGGACTGTGGCTATTTCCTCCTGCTAGAATCTCTGGATCATTGCATACACAAGAGCCACTGGATGAATGTTGCCCTCTCCCTGCCACTGCTGCCACTAATGCCGAGAAGATGGTGCACTGTCTCAGCAGTTGCTGTTCATGGGCACAAAAGCTGCTGCAGCAGCCTCCCAAGCCTTAAATGGTGGGTTCCATTGTGGAGAGGATGGGGTGAGATAAATGTACCACTTTTAATTTCACTGGGTCTGTGGGTAACCACTAGTAACTGCTAGCCCCTAGGGCACCAGTCTGGACTCATGATGTGCTCTCTCTCCAGCTATATCACCACGGGTTCCTGCAGTCTGGTTTCACCTCCATCTCCAAGCTGTTGCCTGCTCTCAACAGCTGAAGTCGTGTGTTGTGTCCAGGTTTGTGCTCTACATCTGCACCTTCCACACAGGTCCACAGTACTTCTCTTCCTTTTGTAGAATTTCCAGTGTAGTTTTCTAATTCTCCCCTGGGAGTACACTTCCTACACTTTTTTTTTTTTTACTATTTATGCCTAGCCTACAGCAGTACATCATTCCCTATTCTGCCACCCTGGGATCTTCCTCAATCTAATTATATTTAACGAGACCAAACAATTTCTAAATCTTTTATAGTTCTAGAGTATGGATCTTAAATTTGAATGAGATTCTTTTTTGTCTTTCTTTTTCATAAAAAAATTATATGTATGCACAGAAGATTTACTCATCCTCAAAATATCTTGAAGAAAGAAAAAATATATATTCCTATAACTAATTCTTTTTAGAAAAGATTCATTATTTTGAAGGCAGAGTGACAAACAGAGAGACTGTGCAAAACACAGAGGTCTTTGATCTGTTGGTTCACTTTCCAAATGGCCACAACAGCCATGATTTCATCTGGGTCTTCTACAGGGAGGCAGGGGCCCAACTACTTTGACCATCCCAGGCTGCTTTTCCAGATGTATGAACAAAAAGCTGGACTGGAAGCAACGTACTTGAGTTTTTAAGCCAGAACTCTTTGCAAGAGGTGCCTTAACTAGTTGTCACACAATTAACCTTCCTATGGTTAATTCTTTAACCTCTCTTTCACTTATCAAAATAGTCATATTTGTGCTTTTTTGACACATTTCCAACACTTTCAGAAAGGTCTTATTCTTGCTACAATCATATCCAGTCTGGGAAGCAGAAGTAATATGTAGGAGTGTTTATTTCTTCCAGAAAAATTTAGAGAGGCATAAAGTAAAATAGAAGAAAAATGCATGCAAATAGCACAAAATGGTGCCCTTTATAGTATAATTCATAAATACATGTTGGTAGAAATTAACTAAGTAAAATAAATGTTATAAATATTAGCATTGTGTCAATTTGTTTAGGAGTGAAATTTTATTTCATCTTCTCTGTCATCTTACAAAATTTCCATATGTTCATCATAATTTTGTGTAGCCTTGGTAATTTTGTGTAGCCTTGTGTCAGGATAAGATGTTTAGATGAAAAGATTGTCATAATTTCCCCACCCTGTTGAAGGACAATACAGTTATTAAACCTGAAGGAGAAAATGTAGATGAGAAACAAATCAAAATTTTTCACTTTAGGGGAAGACATTTGGTGCAGCAGTTAAGTTGCTCCATGAGATACTTGAATCTCATTTCAAAGGGATAAGTTTGAGCCCTGGCTACTGTGATTTTGATTACAACTTTCACTTGATGTACATCCTCTGAGGCACCAGAAGATGGGTCAGATAATTGGATCCTTGACATATACATGGAAGACTCAGGTGTAGTTCTTGGCTGCTGGCTGTGGCCTAGTCTAGCCCTGGGTATTTGGCAGGTGTACCAGTGAATGGAAGATATATATACATCTCTGTGTGTTTTTACCTTTGAAATAAAAAAGTGAAGCTATATGCTTTCTTTAAATTAAAATATTTAAACCATATAATACTTTATACATTAAAAATCTTGCTTTCAATTAAGATTTAGGATATTATTTTAAAGAATTCCTAATTAATACAAATAATGCAAAACCCAAATGAATGAACTAGGGAAGCAAAGCAGAAGATTCTATGAAAAATTTCACAGAAGAAATAATACTGGAGCAATCAACTTGGCTCCCATTCAATTTGTCTTCTGTGAAGCCTGAAGCCAAGATTAACATTTGGTAGGTTCTTAATAAGTTGTGTCAAATTAATAATTCAGAAGGAAAGAGGAATTCAGGAAGGAATACTGTAGAGAGAAAAGTTAAAGTAATATCTTGGGATATGATGCTGTAGAGCATATTTAACACAAAAGCCTAAATCAAGGACTGGCAAAAATTTTGTAAAGGGTCAAATAACAAATATTTTAGGTTTTGCAGACTACTACTACCTCTGCTGCAATTACTGAACTTTGCTATGGACAGAAACATTCATGTGCAATGATAAATGTAATACTTTTTGTGACCGCAACCTTTAGTGGTATTATTCAACCATGCATACAAATGTTCCAGCTCTTGATAAGCACTAGTAGTTAAAACTGTTGCCCAGGAGAATCTATAAATAAAGGTGATCTTTGTTTCCTTATTTCAAGACATCTGACTTTGTAAAAGAAGAATTGTTGACAACATTTTTCCTTAAGAAACTCTGCAATGAAGATTCATCTCCTTTTCTTTATTCTATTCCTTTTGGTCACAGTTTTACCAGGTAATATACAAATATTTATGGGACTATTTTACTAATCACTTTGAGGAGACAACTCTTGTTTCTTGCTTGAAATGTGATAATAGCATAGTTATTAAAAGAGTATTACACTACAGGTAATATGATATTTTGGAACAGAACAAAGCAATATTGTCTAAACTGGTGAGTAGTAAATAAAGTACATAATTTGCATAAATAATATTTTGTAGTTTAGATAAAAATTACCGTGGTTATTTGAAATATAAGGTAAGAGGGAGGTAGTCTATATTACCTTTGCAATTCTTCTGTAGATGTAAAATTTCAAAATTAAAAAAAATTACATTAATCCTATCACCTTCATATACCATCAGTTATTTAGAATTTATTCTTGATGGGTCCTATATTTTGCTTGGAAGAATATTGCCCAATCAAGTAGTAAAAGGTAAGTGGATCCGTGTTATAAATCTATTTATCTTCTTCTTTTTAGCCTATGACAATAGACTGCTTCCCATTAGTAGAAATCTTTTCTTAGTACTCTCTTCTCAGTCCTTCAGGAAAACTACATCCATTATTGCCCTTTCTTTAAATAGTTCTTATCATTAGCTGGCTTTGAGTGCTAGAGATCACGTGAATGTTGAATCATACCTATGCACAAGCTATATTTTTATGCAACTTGCCTCTCTCCAAGAACTATCCCTACACTTATGGTATATAACAAGCTTCTCTTCTGTTGAATTAGTGTGTTGGCATCAATTTCACAGAAATAGTAAGTCCTGCAAATGTAGAGATCATTGGGTCTGTCTCTTTCTTCTTCAATAGCTTGAAGAGAAAGGATGAGCTAAATCTAGCCAGTTTGTGTTAGTGGCAATGAAATCAGACTCTTATTCACTAGTCGTCAGACAATAATCCTTTTTAGTATCTGGCTGTTTTTTTCTAAGCTCACCAGAAATCATATAGAGGATCAGGAGATAAATTAACTTGTCCTCTTACTTTGAGTATTATGAAATCCATAATGATAATCTAAACATTCATACATAATACATTTAAAAATAACCATTTAAAACTTATCAGTGGATAAAGTTCTATATTGAGAGCAAACATCAGTGAAGATACAATGTAAATACACCCATACATATTTACATACAGTTTGCAGTGTTAAGATGACTAAAGTTAAAAGGTAAGGATGACCCAAGAAACCATGCCACAAGAGACAGTGTAAGGAATGTTTTCCAGAATATACTTCAAGTTCTGTGTGTCTTGGTAAAACATAGATACATAAAGTTTAGTACTAAATCACTCACTATATAATCAGGATACATATTTTCTCCTCAAAATTAAAAAAGATTGAACTAGATTTTTTAAACAGAAATGAGCAGTTAGAATAGTGTACCTCGCCTGGTATTGCAGTCATATTTGGCAGTTGAACTAAAGTGAATAAAAATAAATGTCAATTGTTTTTAAATTTCATCTTCAGTCTTTTAGATGATGAAAGTCCTCACTTAATCTTGAGAGTAAAATTCAATTCTTCCTACTCAGAAAATTAGACAGAAAATATGTCTCGGTAAAAGTCCCTAGAATTTTACATACAGAGAAATATCAATTCAAGTAACTTAGCTTTCTTCTTCATTTTCTAGAGCTTGTAATTGCACAAAAAGTCTAAAAGAGAGAGTCTTGCATTACCTGGCCATTCCTTTCATTTTCCCTGCTAAATTGGAAAATGCATTATTGCCAAAAATGTCATCTCTTTAAAACTTCCATGTTCTTTGTATGTAGGATAGCATAGTATTGTAGTGAAAGGATGCCATGGTTTTCCCTTGATTCCAGGGAAGTTAATGGAAGCCCAAGAAATAAGAAACAGATGAGTGAAAATAAAAATAACTCGTAAGTTGAAGATTTGTATTAGGAACTTTTTGCCCAGTTCTAGATTCCACATTAAGTTGAACTTTATATAATGTTTAAACAAATTCCCTATCATGTCAGAAGGTTGTAATGTATTATAATTGATACATATGAAGTGTTGTAAGAGAAGTGGAGGAACAGAGTACTTCTCTCTACAAGATATCAGAAGAGACATCAAAAACAAGATAGTATTTGAATAACATATGAGAATGGAGACACTACTGGTTTGGTTTATCACTAGGACAACGGTTAATCAGGGATGATTGTATACTAGAAAACATTAGGCAATGTCTGGAGATATTTTAGGTCATCACAACTGTGCTACTGGTGTTTAGAAGTAGAGGGTAAGTGATACTTCTAAATGTCTTACAATGCAGAGACAGCCCTCCAGAGCCACAAATTGCCTAGCCCAAAAGGTCAATATTGTGTGGGATGAGAACTCTGACCTAAAGCTTGGCTTAGAATTTGACAAGATTTTATTTATTTATTTATTTATTTATTTATTTATTTATTTTTGACAGGCAGAGTGGACAGTGAGAAAAAGAGACAGAGAGAAAGGTCTTCCATTGCCATTGGTTCACCCTCCAATGGCCGCCGTGGCCGGCGTGCTGCGGCCGGCGCACCGCGCTGATCCGATGGCAGGAGCCAGGTGCTTCTCCTGGTTTCCCATGGGGTGCAGGGCCCAAGCACTTGGGCCATCCTCCACTGAACTCCCTGGCCACAGCAGAGAGCTGGCCTGGAAGAGGGGCAACCGGGACAGAATCCGGTGCCCCGACTGGGACTAGAACCCGGTGTGCCGGCGCCGTAAGGCAGAGGATTAGCCTGTTGAGCCGTGGCGCTGGCCAAGATTATTTTTAATAAACATTAGTCGTAGTTTTACTCTTCCAGATATGGGAAAGAGAAGTTTGTCCTACGTGTCAATCTTTACAGCATTGTAAGAATATCCTCATGACTCCAGTTACAAAATCATCACTCATTCTTTTGTGATTGATGGAAAAAGAATCAGGAGCAGGAGTTAATAACATTTTTCTAATAATTAGCGAATAGTTTAGGTTTTATAAATCCTGTGCTGTTAATTGTGTTATCGTAAAGCAAAAGCAGTTGCAGACAATATGTCAGTAAGTGGGTATGGTTCTGTATCAAACAAATTTTATAAAAATAGATGGCAGTCTGAAATTGGCACCATGTCTACAGTCTTTTGCTTCACAGTCAAGAGGATTAAGACACTAACAATGATTGGAAGAAATTCTTTTTAAATCACTATTATTTCAGAAACTGATGAAAATGAGAAACAGTACCACTGGTAGTTTTAGAAATCATGTAATGTCTAATAATGGTTGAACATTTTACCACTCTTACTTTTTTTTAACTAATGTTATCATCAGATGTGTATCTAAATCAAATCGTGTTATTGAGAAAGTAAATTCTAAAATATTGAGAAGAGTTTTGGGAATTCAAACACGTTGACTAACATTCAACATTTTAGTAAATTAAAATCAAGCTATAGTAGAAATCTGTGACAAGCTCATAAAGCACATTATTAATTACATAAGTGTTCTTAGAAAAGAACAGGGCAGTCCAAATGCACCTAGTTGACTGTAGAAACAGCTTGATAGATGACAAATTGTATTTACTGTTTTACTGTACACCTAGAGAACCATCCTTGAGTTAGTCTTCAATTACTTGTAAGACAGCAATTTGAAAACTCAAGTCCAAGAACAATTTCTGATTTTTAGGACATAACTTACACCAAATGGCAATAAATTCACTTACACTCTGTGCTGTAGGTTATTTTCACTCTTTTGCATATTGGAATTTCTCATTTTAAAATGTAGGCATGTCTCTGTCAGGATACTAATTCTAGTCATTCTTTCCTCCTTACAGCCAAAAGGAAATATCCCCAATATGGTAGCTTGGATTTGTCAAAAGAGTGCATAGATGGTAACGGTCGATGTAGAAATTATTGCCCTGAAAATGAGGTTAGAATCGCTTACTGCATCAGGCCAGGAACTCATTGCTGCCTGGAGTCTGAAGGATGAGAGAAGAAAAGAGACAAAGGCTCCAAGAGAAGATAAGTGTTATGAAGTCTTCCCAGCATATCCTTCAAGGCCTGTGTGTCTATAAAACTCAGAAAATTAAATAAATTTAATTCTGAGCCACTAATAAAGGGTTCCATTTCAGACATATGTCTGGTTACTTTACACTGCAATTTTCTCTTGATTTCTTGGTACCAGAAAAAAAGCATCATTTATTTTATGGAAGTTCCTCAATAATTACTCAAAGTTCTTTTTGCCTTGTGTTACTCAACATAAGTAATGTTGTTGGAAACCCCAGGTCAAAGAATTGGAGAAGCATATGTCTGAGACAAAAAAAAAAAAAGTGCCATTTTTAAATTATGCTACTCTTGATATTAAGCATATGAAACATAAGTACACTGGGCTTTGCAGACTAGGCTTTGATAGTGAAGATGTTTTGCATGAGAGAGAGTTGAAGTGAGAGGATGACAAGAGTGTAAGAATGGACGACCAAAGGAAAACCACAACTAGCTGCAATTTCTTCTCTGATTTTTTATTTAGTAGGGAAGAAATGTGCATCAGGAAATAGGAGAGAGGGTGAGAATGGAAGAAAAGAATTTTCAAAAGGACAGGAGACTAGCTAATTAGAAATTTTTGTCCTGGCAGTCAGAAACTATAGCTAACAGTTTCAGAGGAGATAAAAAAACAAAGGAAGGGAAAATAATCTTCACATTGCATTTTATTTGCCCCAGTTTCTCTCCTACTGTCTTGATAGCCCACATAGTACCCTTCCTTACAATCTTATCAATAATATGAGCACAACTATCACACACAGTTTCCATACAAAATGCTAATTCTTGAAATTGGAAATACAACTTAGTGATTTGTATTAATTCAAAATTAAAGAAATATCACTAATACCATAGCACAAAAACAAAATAGAAGTTTTCCATTTCCCCAAAAGGTGATTAACTTCCCCAAAAGATAATTAATTTCTGGAAAATCACCTAAAGAAATAGGAAGCTTATTGAACATATATGCATGGGATAAGATAAGAATCTAGAAAGACATGAGAAATCAAAAAAACTCTTGATATTTTATGATGTTATCTCTATAAATTTATTGTTTTCCAAATGCAAATATGAGATTTAACCATTATCTATAACATTGTAATGCATGGAGAACTATTTTCCCCTATTTAGATAAGATATATACACAAATATATTTCTATCATAAGGGATTGATTTTTGGTGTTTTATTTAAAAGAATATATCACATACACTACAAAACAATTATCCAATAAGCACATATTAGACCTTTACATGCATTACATGTATTACCTTTCACAGATTTTAATAACTTAAAATAGTGTTTGACTACTTAATGTGTTCCCATGTAATACAGATATCATCATATGGGCAGAGTTGCAAAGAAAGAGGGATAGAGAGACAGAGATCTTCCTTCTTCTGATTTACTTCCCAAAAGGGTGCAATAGTCTTGTAAGCCAGGATCCGGAACTCCGTCTGAATCTCCCACATGGCTGGAAGGTACCCAAGCACTTGGGCCGTCTTCCGCTGCTTTCCCAAGTACATAAGCATGGAGTTGGATTGGAAGTAGAGCAGCCAGTACTTCAAACAATGGTCTTAAGGGATGCTGGCATCATAAGTGGCAGCTTAACCCACTGTACCACAATGCTGGCCCCTGAAATACTTTTACAGTATTCATTTATAACAGGGTTTTCAGTGTTGGCAACAACTGATATTTGGTCTAATTCTCTGCTATGGGGGCTCTCCTGTCGATTATATGTTTAGTAGCAGGATGTTTCTCAGCATACCTGGCGTCTGCCCACTAGATAGCACTCTTTCTCTTGATTGTGGTGAGTGAAAGTCTAGTGCCATCTCAAATATCCTCTTTAGAGGATAAAATTCACTTGTTACTAAGAAATATTGATTTCTAAAGTAAAACACTTATTCTCATGGAAATTTAAACTTAAAAATGGAAATTATTACATCAACAGTAACATTTTCTGGTAGCTAATAACATTTTCTGTACCTTATGAGAATAGCTACCTATTCAATATTTTTATATATTATTTTCTGTGGGCTAGAGATAATATGCAGATGACAGAGGAAAGACAACTAGACCATGTTGAGAAGGAGACCAGTGAAATGAATTACTTGATGTGAAAGCTTGGTTTTATATTTATTTCACCTAACTGGAAGCTGAGCCATCACTATACCAAGAGCTCTAAGTATAAGTGAGAGTTTTAATACACTGTTAATAAGGAGAAAATTCAACTTGAGAATATGAGGAGCCACCAAGAAATTAGAGGTGGTAATAATTCTAGAAAGCCAGTAACAAGTTGGAAATGATGAGCACTCTGCTAGAAAAGCCACTGAGAAATCTGCCCACAAACAGGACTGTGACAAGACTATTGATATGCCTTCTATCGCTCGGTTTTCCACAGAGAAAAACAAAACCTTCTACACTTCTGAACTAGTCTTTTCTTATGTGGTAATGTATACATTCAAGCCATCAGCCTCTGCCTTAAGTTCAAAATCAAATGATAGAAATTGGAAAGACAATGTGAAGTTATGTACATCAAGTATGAAATTAATATGCTCCCTTGAGGAAATTTTTAAGTGTTTTTATTTATTTATTTATTTATTTTATTTTATTTTTTGACAGGCAGAGTGGACAGTGAGAGAGAGAGACAGAGAGAAAGGTCTTCCTTTGCTGTTGGTTCACCCTCCAATGGCAACCGTGGCCGGCGCACTGTGGCTGGCGCACCGCGCTGATCCAATGGCAAGAGCCAGGTACTTCTCCTGGTCTCCCATGGGGTGCAGGGCCCAAGCACTTGGGCCATCCTCCACTGCCTTCCCGCGCCACAGCAGAGAGCTGGCCTGGAAGAGGGGCAACCGGGACAGAATCCGGCGCCCCGACCGGGACTAGAACCCGGTGTGCTGGCGCCGTAAGGCAGAGGATTAGCCTAGTGAGCCGCGGCGCCGGCCTTAAGTATTTTCACATGTGACGTCAAGACTAAAAAACTCCAGGAACACCTTTGATGAAGTTCCTCAAACTGTTCCCTTACACAGATTGAGGTATTAGTAATTATTCTGTCTCTAGAACTTACACATGTTATCTAATTTTGTAATTTATCAACTACACAATTAAAAGGGAAAGCAAATAATTAAAAAGAAAAAAAAAAGATTTGTCAGCTTTCCTACTAATTTGCTGTGATTTTTTGTTGTGTAAATTGACAAATAATCTGGATAATGTTTCTAAATATTATTATTGTTATTATTATTATTAATAGGTTGGAGGGGAAACAGAGACAGAGAACAAGCTCCTTTCTGCTCGTGGACTCTACAGATGCCTGCAACAGTTAGGGCCGGGCCAGGCCCAGCCTGGGAGCCAGGAACTCAATCCATGTCTTCCATACAGTGGTAGGGACACAAGTACTTAAACATAATCTGCTCCCTGCTAGTATGTACATTAACAGGAAGCTGGAATTTGCAGCTGAACAGGATTCTGGACAAGGTAGTTCAACATGGTTGCAGACTTTTTTTTTTTTTTTAAGATTTGTTTATATCAGAATCACAGAGAATGGGAGAGACAGAAAGAGTAGGAGGGAGAGAGAGCTTCCATTCACTGGTTCACTACTCAAATCGCAGCAACAGCCATTCCAGACCTCCCGCATTAGTGCAGGGACCCAAGCACTTGGGCCATCTTCCAAGTTACTTTCCAAGGCACATTAGCAGGAAGCTGGATTGGAAGTGGAGCAGCCAGGACTCGAACCAATGGCCATATGGGATGTCGGAGCTGCAGACGGCAGCATAACTGCAGCACCACAGCACTGGTCCTGGATGCAGACATATTAATGAACACACCAAACATCCGCCCTATGCTGGATAGTTTTAAATTAAACTAGTCAGTTTTTCAAAACTTAAGTTTTGTGTTTTATCTCCTTTGAGCCAGCATACTCATATAAATTTTTATGTTGCTGCATTTTCTTTTGTTTTTAGTTATCTGGGAGTCTTTTGTTATTTTTGTTGTTAATATTTATTTTATATATTTGAAAGGACGAATGACCAAGAGAAAGAGATCTTTCATCCACTGGTTCATTCCCCAAGTGGCCAAAATAGTCTGGGCAGGGTCAGACCAAAGCCAGGAGCCAGGGATATTATTTGGGTCTCCCATGTAGGCAGTGGGGGACCCAAGAACTTGGGCCATCATCCACTGTCTTCCTATGCACATTAGAGTAGGGAGCTCAGTCTGAAGCAGAGCACCAGAAACTTGAACTGGCACTCTGATATGGGATGCAAGTATCACAAGTGGCAGCTTAAACAGCTGTACCACAATGCCAACTCCTTCCATGAGTCTTCATTGACAGTTACCCTGATGAGAGTGCTGAATATGTTTGCTGTTATTTGGTAGCTTAATACCTATGTGAATCAGTTAAAAAATTACATTAAATGAGACTTTATCACCATCAAATTTCAGCACAGACTAGGAGCAAATAGGAATCCTGACATCATTTTCTCTAATCCAATCTATTTCAAGATTTGCTTCAGCTCTGTGTTTTTGTTAGTATACTAATACTAACTAATTTTGATAAGAACTTTATTGACTCAAGCAACATAATTAATGACTCACTTCTTCTCAGGTATAATGTCATAGTGTTGGATTTAGAGATCAAACATTTCAACTCCTGTGTTAAGAGATTGATGCCCAGGGGCCAATGATGTTATAGTAGGCTAAGCCTCTACCTGCTGAGTTGGCATCCCCTATGGGTGGGGCTGGCATCCCTTATGGGGGGCGGTTCATGTCCCAGTTGCTCTTCTTCCAATCCAGCTCTCTGCTAATGGCCTGGGAAAGCAGTGGAAAATGATCTAGGTACTTGGGCCCTTGCACACACATGGGAGATCCAGAAGTTCCTGGCTCCTGGCTTCAGATTCAGTTCCAGCAGTTGGGCTATTTAGGAAGTGAACCAGCTGTTAGAAGAGCTCTCTCTTTGTCTCTCTCTCTCTCTCTGTCTGTAACACTACCTCTCAAATAAGTATATAAAATCTTGAAAGACAGAGAGAGAGATTGTTGTTGATTAACCACAAGCTGAGCTTAATATAACATCCAATG